ACATGGTGACATTGGGACAGGGGGACACGGTGACATGGGACAGGGGGACACGGTGACACTGGGACAGGGGGACATGGTGACACTGGGGACAGAGGGACATGGTGACACTGGGGACAGGGGGACACGGTGACACTGGGACAGGGGGACACGGTGACACTGGGGACAGGGGGTCTCACGTGAGGGGTCTCTCCAGGCGGCCGCCGGCAGCGCCCACGATCTCGCCCAGGGTGCAGAAGGCCTGGCCCAGGAAATCCTGGGGATTGGGGACACCAGGGGGTCACCAGGGTCACCAGGGGTCAGCAGGGGTCACTGGGGTCACCGGGGTGTCCCCGTCCTGGGGGAAGGTCATGGTGGGTCCTTCACTCACGTGCTTGGAGAGGTCGGGGCTCTTGGAGTCCACGTCGTACCTGGGGACACAGAGGACATGTGGGGACACAGGGGACATGTGGGGACACAGGGGACACAGGGGACATGTGGGGACACAGGGGACATGTGGGGACATGTGGGGACACAGGGGACACGTGGGGACATGTGGGGACACAGGGGACACAGGGGACATGTGGGGACATGTGGGGGCACAGGGGACACAGGGGACATGTGGGGACACAGGGGACACATGGGGACATGTGGGGACGGGGGGGACAGGGATGGGACACTGCAGGGGCTGTGCTGGGTTGACCCTCGGGTGACACTGGGGGTGACCTTGGGGGTGACATGGGAGTGCCGGGGGCACTGGAGGTAACATTGGGGTGGCCCTGGGGGTGACCCTGGGGGTGACCCTGGGGGTGACCCTGGGACCAGGGGGTGACACAGGGGTGACAATGGGGTGACCCTGGGGTGCCAAAGGCACGGGGGTGATCCTGGGTGACCCTGGGACAAGGGGTGACACAGGAGTGACAATGGGGTGACCCAGGGGCGCCCAGGGGTGTCACGGGCACCGGAGGTGACACTGGAGTGACCTGGGGGTGACACAGGAGTGACCTGCGGGTGTTGGGGGTGCTGGGGGTGCCAGTGGCACTGAGGGTGACACTGGGGTGACACTGGGGTGACCCGGGGGTGCCTGGGGTTGCCGAGGGCACTGGGGATGACACTGGGGTGACACTGGGGTGACACTGGGGTGACACTGGGGTGACACTCACAGGTCGAAGCGCAGGTTCTGCCGCTCCTCGAAGCAGAAATCCAGCACGAACTTCCGCAGGAAATCGGGATTCAGGGAATTGTCGATGACCTCGGTCCGGCCAAACTGGGGACAAGGGGACAGCGGGGGGGACAGGGGGACAGAGTGGGACAGGGGACATGGGGGGACAGCAGGGACAGAGGGGGGACAGGGGACTTGGAGACACAGGGACACAGAGACATGAGGACATGGGGACACAGGGACATGGGGACGTGGGGACGACATGGGGACGTGGGGATATGGAGACACGGGGACACAGGGACATGGGGACATGGGAATGGGGACCAGGAACACGGGGACACAGGGACATGGGGACATGTAGTTATGGGGACACAGGGACATGGGAACATGGGGACATGAGGACATGGAGGTGTGGGGTTGGGGACTTGGAGACAAGTTCATATGGGACGTGGGGATGAGGACATGGGGACATGGAGACAAGGGAATGGGGACCAGGAACATGGAGATGTGGGGATGGGGACATGGGACAGGGACATTGGGATATGGGGACATGAGGATATGGGGACACGGGGACGTGGAGACACAGGACACGTGCACAGGGGGTTGGGGACACAGGGACACGCTCACGGGGGTCGGGGCGTGTGGGCGGGGTGGGCGGGCGGGGGCGGGGGGGACACGCGGGGACAGGGGCGGGGGGGGGGGGCGGCCGCAGGTGCCGCTTTGTGCCTTCGGGGCTGCCCCTCCCCCCGCCCCGCCCCCAGCTCCTCACCCCGCAATTAACACCTGCCTAATTACGGGGGCGGCGCCACCCACGCTGATTGGCTGGCTGGACGTGTGCCCGCAGCTGATTGGTTGCCCCGTACCCCAAAACTCCCCAGGACGCTGATTGGCTGCCTGCCTGCACCCCAGGATGCTGATTGGCCTGCTCTGTGCACCCCAGGATGCTGATTGGTCGGCTGTGTGAACCCCATCGTGCTGATTGGTCGGCTCTGCGCATCCCAGGACACATTGCTTGTTGCCGATTGGCCAACTGTTTGGCACCCCAACACCTGATTGGCTGGTTGGCCAACACCCCGCCGTGCTGATTGGTCAGCACCCCAGAGATCTGATTGGCCGCGGGCTGGTGCCCAACATGCTGATTGGTCAGAACCTAGTCTGCTGATTGGCCGGCCTGTAGGCACCCCACATGCTGATTGGCTGTCTGGTTGGCGTGGCCGCTGCTGATTGGTCACTGCCCCGACACGCTGGTGATTGATTGGCCAGCCAGCACCCAAGGTGCTGATTGGTTGGTCGAGTGCCCCCCCATGCTCTGATTGGTTGTCCAAGTGCCCCCCAAGGTGCTGATTGGCCGCCCTCCCACCAATCAGGGCACTCACCTCCCGCCATTGGTGGCTGCCCGGGCGCTGCGTGTACAGCACACACACTGCGGGGAACGGGGGTCGGAGGGACCCAAAACACCCCCAACACCCCAAAATACACACCCCAAAACACCCCCTGGGACCCCAAAACACCCAAACCCACCCCAGAGCACCCTTAGGGACCCAAAAAACATCCCCAGGGATCCCCCCAAACACCCCCCAAACACACCCCATCCCGAGACACTGACACCCCCAGAGACCCCCCAGGGACCCCCAACACACCCCCAGGGACCCCCCAAAACCCCCCAGAGATCCTCCAACACCCCCAGAGATCCCCAAAACATCCCCAGAGACCCCTAAACCACCCCCAGAGACACCAACACCCTCCAGGGACCCCTAAACCACCCCCCAGAGACATCAACACCCTCCAGGGACCCCCAAAGCACCCCCTGAGCCCCCCCCGCCCACCCCACTCACGGGGGTCCGACTTGGAGAAGGTGTCCCGGTCTAGGAGCTGTCTGGGGGAGGGAGAGAGAGAGGGAGTGTGAGTGTGAGCTGAGTGTGAGTGTGAGAGTGCGAGTGTGAGGGTGTGAGAGTGTGTGTGATTGGAGTGTGAGTGAGTGTGAGGTAGAATGAGTGTGAGTGTGAGCAAGTGTGAGCATGAGAGTGTGAGTTAGAATGAGTGTGAGAGTGTGAGCTGAGTGTGAGTGTGAGCTGAGTGTGAGCTGAGTGTGAGTGTGAGACTGAGCTAGAATGACTGTGTGTGACTGTGATCTGAGTGTGTGTGTGTGATCAGTGTGAAGGTGAGCTGAGTGTGAGTGAGAGTATGAGGGGGTGTGTGTGCAATCTGAGTGTGTGTGTGAGAGAGAGTGTGGGTGTGAGCGTGATCAGTGAGTGTGAGTGAGAGGGAGTGTGAGAGTGTGATCTGAGTGTGTGAGTGTGAGATCTGAGTGTGAGTGGGAGGGTGTGTTGTGTGTGTGTGAGTGAATGTGAGTGAGTGTGATCTGAGTGTGAGTGTGAGATCTGAGTGTGAGTGGGAGGGTGTGTTGTGTGTGTGTGAGTGAGTGTGAGTGAGTGTGATCTGAGTGTGAGTGTGAGATCTGAGTGTGAGTGGGAGGGTGTGTTGTGTGTGTGTGAGTGAATGTGAGTGAGTGTGATCTGAGTGTGAGTGTGAGCTGGCTGTGCCCAGGGCTGTGCCCGGGGCTGTGTGTCCATGCCCAGGTGTGCCCCTGGGCACAGGGGGTGTTGGGGGGCACAGCCGGGTATTGGGGGGCACGTGTTGGGCTGCCATGCGTTGGGGGGCACAGCCGTGTGCCAGGACACCCCCGCAGGGCCCTGGGATGCAGAGAGGGGGCGTGGGGGGTGCAGGGGGCACTGGGGGGGGGTTAGGAGGTTCAGCCCCTCTGGGGGGGTCGGGCCCATGTCACCCCCCAGCCACCCGGTTTTGGCACTGCCCCCAGTGCCCCCAGTGCCACCTAGTACACCCAGTGCCCCCCAGTGCCCCCAGGGCCCCCCAGTGTCCCCCACTCGGCCCAGTGCCCCCCAGTACTCCCAGTGCCTCCCACTGCCTCCTAGTGCCCTCCAGTGCCTCCCAGTGTCTCCAGTGCCCCCCAGTACCCCCCACTCCGCCCAGTGCCCCCAGTGCTCCCCAGTTCCTCCCAGTGTCCCCCAGTGCCCTATAACGCCGGCTGTCCCTGCTCCCAGTGCCTCCCAGTGCTTCCCAGGGGATCCCAGTGCTTTCCAGCACCCTCCAAAGCCGACTCCCGCCGCTCCCAGTGCACCCCAGTGCCTCCCGGCGCCTCCCAGTACCCTCCAACGCTGGCTACGCCTGCACCCCAGTGCCTCCCAAGGGATCCCAGTGCCTCCCAAGGGATCCCAGTGCCTCCCAAGGGATCCCAGTGCCTCCCAGCACCCTCCAACGCCGGCTGCTGACGCTCCCCAGTGCCTCCCAGTGCCTCCCAGTGCCTCCTGGTGCACCCCAGGGGATTTCAGCGCCTCCCGGTGCATCCCAGCACCCTCCAGCGCCGGCTGCTGCCGCTCCCCAGTGCCATCCAGGGGATCCCAGTGCTTCCCAGTGCCTCCCAGCACCCTCCAACGCCACCTGCCGCTGCACCTCAACGCACCCCAGTGCCTCCCAGTGCCTCCCAGTGCATCCCAGTGCACCCCAGGAGATTTCAGTGCCTCCCGGTGCATCCCAGCACGCTCCAGTGCCAGCTACGCCCGCACTCCAGTACCTCCCAGTGCCTCCCAGTGCCCCCGGTACCTGCAGGACACGGTGATCTCCACGCGGGTGGCCGGGACGGGGCCGGGGCCGGTGCCCGGTTCCAGGGAGCCCAGGCCCGCCATGCCCCGGCTCCGCCGCTGCCCCGGCACCGGGATCGGGATCGGGATCGGCTCCGCCCCGGGACCGCCCCCGGCACCGCCCGCGGCTCCGGCCCCGACCCCGCACCGAGGGGCTGCCCCGGGGGCTCCTTCGGGACCGGCCCCCCGATCGCCGGCACCGCCCCGGGGATCGCCCCCAAATCCCCGGGATCGCCCCCAGATCCCCGGGATCGCCCCCGGGACCGCCCCCAAATCCCCGGCACCGCCCCCGGGATCGCTCCCGGATCCCCGGGATCGCCCCCAAATCCCCGGCACCGCCCCCGGGATCGCCCCCAGATCTCCGGGATTGCCCCCAAATCCCCGGCACCGCCCCCGGGATCGCCCCCGGATCCCCGGGATCGCCCCCGGCACCGCCCCCGGGGCCTCCTCCCCATCCCTGCTACCCCTTGGACTCCCGGTACCACCTCCGGTACCGCCCTAGGATCAGCCCCGGTACCGCCCCCGGATCACCCCCAGACCCCGGTACCGCCCGGGATCAGCCCCGGTACCGACCCCAGGATCACCCCCAGCCCCCGGTACCCCCCAAATGCCGGTACCACCCCCCCAACCACACCCCTGGACCTCAGGACCTGCCGGAACCCCGGGATCACCCCCAGCCCCCCGGTACTCCCTGGTACCCCCCGGTACCCCCCGGCTCACCCCCAGACCCATGGGCAGGAAGAGCTTTCTGCGAGGGCACCTTTTGTCTGGGAGGAACCTTCGTCCGTGTTCAGTTTTGGGGGTGGGACCGGCAGTTTCAGCGCAGGGCTCCAAAAGCAAACCCCGGCCCTTTCTCCCCTTTCTCCCAGGAGTGAAAGCCTGTCATTTTTGGCTGTCAGGTGCAGTTTGTGGCCACCCTGGGCACTCTGTGGGGACCTGGACCCTTCTGTCCTGGCACCTTCTGTCTGGGAGGAATCTTTGTCCGTGTTCAGTTTTGGGAGCCCCACATGGAATTTTAGTGTGTACGTTTAACTGCCCTATCCCGACCCACGAGTTGTTTTTTCCAGCTCACTCTCTCCCCTGTCTGGCTGGGAAGGGGAGGGATAGAGTGGCTGGGTGGGCACCTGGCCTCCAGCCAAGGTCAACCCACCACAAGTCCTTATATTTTGTAACTTTGAAATCCTTACCTAAACCCTGCTAAAAAAATAGAGGGTAAAAATTAAGGAGGTCAGCAACCTGTGCAGCTGGAGCTTGGATTAGTTTTGGAGACTGTTACACTCTAAAGAGGTAAATCAATAAATCCTGTAATGATAAGATATGAAGATACACTCTGGAGAGCTAAATCAATCAAAGATTAAGTGGAAGTTTAAGTTATCTTCACCTAAAAATTGATGTTGAGGTCTTGTAGCAATAAAATATGAAACTGTTTCAAAGATTGTTTAAGTAAAAGAAGTCTAGGTTACCTTTAACTAAAGATTAATGTAAGAATAAAATAATTGACTGTCAAGGAGGGGCTTGAGATGTTAAAGGGAGTAAAAGCTCACAAAATCCTTGTTTCAGTGGAGTGTTTATGGAAGAGTTATTCCCAACATTACAGGGCTTAACAGTATCAAGGTGTTGAGTTTGATTTCTTTGAATCAAGGTGTGAAAACTGCAGCAGACAGGGGCTGGCACTCAGGAGCTGGCCGGGCTGCCCCCTCCAAAACAAACACGTACTCGTGGTAGATTTTACTGAATTATGGTTTAATTTCAATAATCTCCAGTTTGTCTGTACAATGTTGTACAAAACGTAACCAAAGGGAAATTTCAGCCCCATGGGAGGGTTTGGTTGTCTGAGGATCCAGGGAATTGGAGTCTCTGATCTGTTCTCTCCTGTCTCCTGGATGCTGTCACAGCAGTACCTTTGGCTGTCACACCTCCCTGCACTCCCCAGAACATTTTGCTTTCCAGTCTCCCCCTCTCAGTGGTGGAATCCCCCCACCGTGGCAGGAGGTGTCTGCTGGTACCTCTTATTTCTGCTCAGACATGAAAGGTTTTTAAGGTCTTTTTGCACCAGGCAGAACCATCCCAGCGGTGCCACAGCCAGGGGCAGTGAGGGTGCAGAGCTGACACTGGGGTGGCAGTTCAGGGCTGGCACAGCCGTGGGGCTGCTCTGCTCACGCTGCCACAGCTGGGGCAGATGGGAATTCCAGTCCTCCCCAGCAGGGCATTTGCACTGTGAGTGCCACCTCCTCCATGCCAGCCTGGTCTGAGAGTTCAGCTCTCACCCAGATCAAAACGGGCAGGCAGACGTTCTTTTTAACAACATACTGAGCTGCCACTGGCAGTGCAAGACATGCAGAACTGCTTCTCCCAGAGTTAGGAAACCTGCTGAGAATCCAGTGGAATCCAAAGGGGTTGTTTTGGCTTAGAAAACCACATAGGAAAGGCCAACTCCAGGGATCTCTGGTGGCCAGAAATGTCCCTGTTGCAGCCTGACAGCAGGTGAGGGCTGTGCTGGGATGGTCTCTGCTGCCTGTGCTCTCCATGGAAAGTTTCATTTTGGCCAACTATTTTTCCTCTCATCTTCTGTGTTCCCAAAGCTTCTAATGTGTGTTTTAAAGGTTTAGTGGAAAGCCATGATCATTACAAAAATAAAAATACAATTCTCTTGAAACATTTTCCCCCTGATTTTGACTAAAACGCAGTGTCGTGTTCAAAATGCAATTACTGGGTGTGAAAAATAAACCCCTTGGGCTCCAGTGAACATCTGAAAATAAATGCACAGGCTTAGGATGGACCAGTCCTCACTGAAACCTTCTCATCCACAGAGCAGGGCAGGGATGTTCTCGGCAGGGTCAAGCTACAGGGCGGAGTCTGGAAATAAGAGAAAGAGAAGTGGTTCAGTGTTGTGATGAAGGAGATGATAAATAGCCTGAAAAGTCTCCCTGGAAAGGGGGAGCTGAAAACTTACAGGGCCAAAAAGACCAATGTCTGCAAAAGGATGACAGGGATGGTGCCTGTGGGTCCCTTCCAACTTGGAATATTCTGTGAAATCTGGGAAATCTGGGGGTTTAACTGACCCGTTTCTCCACTCGTGTCATCCCACCGAGGGGTTTTGCATTAAAAGGAAAATATTTGACTCAAAAGAAAGGATATTTCACTAGATACAATCACCAGCAATATTTATCCATAAGTCTGTCCATCCTTAGTCAATCCCACTTCTCCTCCATTCCCATCAGGATCCCAGTGGCCCTCACCATGTCCTCACCTTTCCTCCCTTCCCATTGCCTTTGGCCACCAAACCTTCCTTGTTCCCTCACTGCTCCCCCTCCACTTGCACATCTGCAGGATCTTTATTCTGCAGCTCCTGGACTGGGGATAAACCCAACCAAGATATTACCTCTTATCCAAGGAAAATGGGATTGTTCTTTCTAAAAAATTTGATCAGAGCCAAGCCAAGCCTCTGTCTCACATAGAAACCGAGTGTTTTTTTTCACATCTGCCTTTCAGTTTCTAGTTCTGTTCCACCCTTGATCACTAAAAAGGTAATCAGGACTTCAATAAAGCAGGAGGCTGCACTTGGCAGCAGGTAGAGCTGCACGGGATCATTTCTGGGGCCCTGGGCAGCAAGGACACCCCTTGGCATCCCCCAGGGGAGGAAGAGCACTGTGGATTTTACCTTTGATGGCGAGGAAGGCTCTGCTGGAGACACGACCCACTTCATTGGAGGCTTCCACCATGTATTCCCCTGCGTCCTGCTTGGTGACCCCCAGGATGACCAGGGAGCAGACTCCAAAGTCGTTTGTGCAGAAGTAGTTTGGATCCTTGGAGAGGTCTCTGTTGTCTTTGTACCAGGTGACTTTTGGGGGGGGGTGGCCCCCCACTGCACAGCTCATGTGACACTCACTGCCTGTCACCACCACGTGGGGCTTCAGCGGGACGAGGAACCTCGGGTGCTGGTTTTGGTTGACTCCCCTGTACCTCTGGGGTCTGACCCAGATCTCAGCTGTAAAAAACAAACAGCGACACACGAACACACCCTCAGGTCCAGCTCCCAGCAGGGAAGTTTGCAGGGCTGGTTTTCAGTCAGACACTCGGCTGCCAAGAGCCTGGAATTCCACACTGCAGTTCCCAGAGATCCCGTGCACTCATGGACTGTAACCTGTGCTGCTTCTCACGGGACCCTGGATTCACTTTGGAGCCACAAACTTTGGTTCCTGCAACACTTAATAGGTTTTTCCAGGAATCTGTTTTGTGGCAGATTGCCACAATATAAGGGCTGGGAGTGAAGGGACTCTCTGCACAATGTCCCTGCAGAAAGGACAAAACTGGAATTCCTCAGGGTACCTCTAGGCATTCCTGTTCTGGGCAACTAAACATTCCTAGGAGGAGGGACCCATTTCAGGATGGGGTGTTAGAAACAATAAAAGAAACCAAGCACGACAACACACACACAGAAACATCTGTAAAAGCTGTTTTACCCTTTGCTTTTCGAATCCTCCAAGGCTGCACGGTTTCAGATGGAGCACTGGCTCCCAGGCTATTCTTGGCCACCACCCTGAAGTAATAATCCCTGCCTGGGATCACGCTGGTGAACGTGAACTTGTTGTTGTAGAGCAGGTTCCCCACCACGCGCCACACGCCCTTCTGGGACTCCCGTTTCAGGACGGTGTAGTAGAGGTTCTTCTCCCACTTCTCAGATGCTGACGGTTCCCAGGTCACTGTCACTGTGTTGGGCACATTCTCTTCCAACCTCAGTGGTCCAGGAGGCTGTGGGATGTCTGTGACGGGAGGGCAAATAATGTCACAGGGGTAGGGACAGTGGCACAGTACAGAACCCTAAAAACTTGGAGTCTATCCCATGGGGGCTCAGTAAAGATCCCGATCATTGGAAGGGGCAAATTCGATTCCTTCTCCAGCCACACAAACACTTTTGCCATGAACTGAGCTGCTGCTGCAGAACATGGGCATTGCAGGGAGGAGAGGAGGGTGACAGAGCTGAGCTGCTGCTTCCCCTCCTGGAGACACAGCTCTGAGAGCTGATCCAGCTGGGGCTCCGTGTCCCACAGCCTGTGCTGACCCCCCTCAGGCTCTTCCAGAGAGCAGGAACTGCTCCTGGGGTTTGCAGTGTCTGTGTTTGGGACCTGGGCTGGCCCTTTCCAGCAGAGTCACTCTGGAAGTAG